CGCAGGCTCAGCGGCCATGGCTCACGGGCCCAGCCGCTCCGCGGCATGTGGGATCCTCCCGGACCGGGGCACGAACCCGTGTCTCCTGCATCGGCAGGTGGACTCTCAACCACTGCGCCACCAGGGAAGCCTCATGACCGTTTCTGAACTGAACACTGGCAAGAGCCAGGTTTGGCTCACCCATTGGAGCTGACCTTACCAGGCCTATGGCTGTGAAAAGAGGGGGGACACTGGAACATTAGGTGGGTAGACAACCACCAGTGCTGGCCACAGAGAAGGAAAAGAAAAATACAGGACTGGAGGAGCAGAGAGACTGACAGTGAAAGAGAGAGAGGAGGGAGGCGGAAAGTCGGTGGGGAGAGTGAAATACAGAGAGAGAGTCAAGCTCGCTAAATTTGGTGCCTTAGGTTAAAACGCTCTTGTCGTATCTTGCTTTTTAGGCAACTATTAGAAGAGCGTGCTTTACTTGTTCTTACTGCCATTTGAAAGGCTGATTAACTTTTCAGTAATTAAACTTATTAACCATTTTTTCAACCTCAGAATTATCAAGGAGATGGCTGTAGCTGTCTCCAGGGAGAAAATTACTCTCCTTTTCTTTCCTCCTTAAAAGAGGCCAGAATTTATTGAGTCATGAAAGGTGGTACTGAAATAAATACAATGATTACTTAGTTATTTGTTTATGTCTTTATTTATAATTTTATCTTTGTCATTGTAAAAGCAGTATAACCACATTAAGTAAAAAAGAAACCAGAAACGTGAAAACAAAATCACCCACAGTCCCACAGTTGAACAACCATTATTTGTCAAGAATTCACACCTTTTTTCATATAACTGCATACAATTTTGTAGATTGATTTGTTTTTCAAAACAGGTATATTGTATACATGGTACAAATTTTGAAAACAAACAAAATATATATATATTTTTTATATATTGAAAAATAAAGCAGGCCTCCCTCCCATCATATCTTTAGGCCTCTAGTCTGCCCCCTGCCCCTCAAACCACTACTACCAGTTTATTTTCTTCTACACAGAGCCTACCCATTAACAAGGAAATATGTGCATATATAAATTTTCCACTCTCCTTTGCCAACATGCTTTATTATTTTTTACAAAATGGTAGCCTACTCTGTATACTATTTTGCACCTTGCTTTTTTCATCTAACTTTTATATTACTTTGAGATATTTCCACAAAATTAAAATTGAACATTATAATGTATTCACACATTGCCACATACTCTTTATAATCATCATTTTTTAAAATTAATTTTTATTGGCATATAGTTGCTTTACCATGTGTTAGTTTCTACTGTACAGCAAAGTGAATCAGTTATATGTATACATAGATCCCTCTTTTTTTGGATTTCCTTCTGATTTAGGTCACCACAGAGCACTGAGTAGAGTTTCCTGTGCTATACAGTAGTTCTCATTAGTTATCTGTTTTATACATATTAGTGTATATATGTCAATCCCAATCTCCCAATTCATCCCACTCCCCCTTGCCCCCTTGGTATCCTTAAGTTTGGTCTCTACATCTGTGTCTCTATTTCTGCTTTGCAAATAAGTTCATCTGTACCATTTTTCTATATTCCACATATAAGCAATTAGAATCATCATCCTTAATGTCTGTAAAAGTTTTGAGTAAATGATTTATCCTTTTTTTTTTTTTGGCTGTGCCATGCGGCATGCTGGATCCTAGTTCCCCAACCGGGGGTCGAACCCACGCCTCCTGCATTGGGAGCCCACAGTCTTAACCACTGGACCACCAGGGAAGTCCCTGATTCATCCAGTTTTAAATAAATATTTATCAAGCACCTGAAACATTGGCAGGATGCTGGTAAATCTAAGATTAAAAGGAAATGGTGCACAGCCTTGAAGGAGATGTAGCAGAGTGGAAGAGACAGGGAGGGAAATGAGTAATTACAGGTAGTCTCCAAGGGCCAAAATGGAAGAGTGTAGGAGGCCTTGTGGGGATGGAAGAGGGAGCCTGGAAAATGCTGATCAAAAGTGTTGAGGATAAGTGAGAGAAGAGAGCTTAGCTCACAGACACAGGGCCAGGAGCGTCCTTCAGGTAGAGACCAGGAATATGTGTAAAGCAGAGAAACACGAAGTAGCATCGTGGTCCAGGTGGCTGCAGGGAGTTGGGTATAGCCCCTACCTCGAGCATCTTGAAGTTGTGGCCTAGTCTTCAATATAAATAATGCTGTGATACACAACTTGCAGCATATAACTTTCCCCATATTTTGTAGTATGTCTCTGGCTAGATTCCCAGAAGTGGGACCTCTGAATCAAAATGTAGGAGCACCCTGACCTACAGACATATAGTCAAAATGCTTTCCAAATGGACAGTATCATTTTATAATGACACCTGCAATGTATGAGCAAACCATTGCTTATTATCTCTGTATCTTAATCACTGGTTTGTTTTAACATCTATTTCTTTAATTACTATAAGGTTACTTTTCACCATATATTTATTACTATTTGTTGTCTTTGTATGTGATTTGTTTGTTTTCTGTTTATACTCAGTAACTGAGATTCTATATTTTACTTTAGCTGTATGAGCCCTACTTGTAGATATTCATACTTTTTTTTTTATATTTGCTGTCACTTTTTTTCTTTTTTTGGTTTAGGTTTCTGTCTAAAGTAATGTTTGACACATAGAAGTTTTAGGTATTACCCAGTCATATCCATTGATCATTTCCTTCTGTTGCTTCTAAGTTGAGGAATACTTCTAGCCAGAGGTTTAACAAATAGTATTTTCTGGTTTGCTTTAAAAAATATTTAACTCATAAATCCTCCTTGAACTTGCTTTTGACATATGAAATGAGAATTCAGCTAGCCCCCCTGCCCCAAATTACCAGTGAGTTATCTGAACTTCCCCTTCTCTGTTGAGTTTTATTTCAATGGTAAATCCTGCTTAGGGATCAGCTCAGTCATCAATTGGATCTAATTTCTAGTCCTTTTCTGAGTTGTGTCATATCAGCTTAAGATAGACCTTTCCTTTGATTTATCCAGGAATCTGCAGGAACTGTTTTATTTATGTACAGAAAGAATTGCAATATAGCACCAGTGGACTTAGGTAAAGCTTGTCAGTGCCTTCCTGTTAGTAGGGAATCTGCTGCTAAGAGCAGACTACCTTTGAAGCCCACCAGATTGTGTTTTGGGTGGGTGGAGGACACTTTAAAGAGGGTTATTTCATCCAAACGGCTCAAGTCACTGTTAACCAGTGTCATAATTCTAGAATCTCCTGGTTCTTCCACCTTTGTGGGGACCCTGGCTCTTACCTGTGGCCTCAATATAGCCCCAATCCCTCTCAAGACCAAGTCTACTTAAGTGCGATTTATTGCAAGAAAAAGTAACTTCTTGCTCCTCCACGTAACAGGTTGTCAACTAGCTAGCTAGTTTTTGAGAAAAGTGAGTAGTTAACCAGGGAAGCCCTAGGACAGAGGTTCTCAACCATACTTAAGTATCACGTGAGAGCTTAGGAAACATGCAGATTTCTGTGCCCAGTACCAGGTTACACGGGGTGGTACTGGAAAAATTTCCCGATCTCATCTCTTTGTTTCTGAAGCTTTGTTTCTGAAGCTTTCTGAAGCCTTAAAAAAATTCCCACAGATGTTTACACACAGTTCTGAGCGGTTCTTCATTGTTTTTCCATGAAATACTGGTACCCGCTTGTCAGCACCTATGAAAATGCTCCAGGCGGGAGGCAGATACACAACTAACAGGCACACCTTCTCAGATAGGGCTCCAATATAATTTCCAGGCACGTTCCATCCTTCCTCAGAGGTCAAAAGCTTAACCGTTCATGATCTATAAACTCAATTCGGATTCCCCGGAAGACCGTCCTGGAACGTCTTGCTGGATTCCTTCTTAGAGTTAAGATCAGTCAAGTTCCTTCGGCACTATTGCGTCTCGTGGCAGCATTTGCAATCCGGGTTTCTGTTGTTGGCAACTGGCCCTAGGGCAAGGATTGTATCCCGGGTCAGGATTCCTTTGGGCCATCTCTCCTTCCTCGTCCCCATTTCTAGGATAAGCCTATTTCTCCCGCAGGTGCGGAGGTTGGGTTGGAGCCGCACTGGGATTCGGGGGCCTTTCCTATGCAACCCTCCCGATTCGCTCCCCCCATTTCCCATCTCTCTTTTCTCCCCCTTCCCTAACACCTTATCCTTCCCCTTTGCTCCCAGCAAAGTCTACGACCCCTTTCCTCTCCGGCTCAGTGGCCCGGCGTCTTCTCTTGCCACAAAACCAGGTGGTGGAGCAGGGGCCGTGAGTGTGGCTACACCCAGAACGGAGGCTCGTCCGGGGGTCGCGGGGAGGATTCTCACTCAGGATCCCTTCTGTCGCCCCAAAGCGACCCTTTCCCCCGCGTCCCTCCAGAAGCTGCCTGCTGCTGCCGGTGGCAGAGGGGGACTCGCTGCTCATCAACCCCCGTCACTCCTCCAGGCTGCTCCCAATGGGCGTGCTCCCCGGGCACCCATACTTCTCCCTCCGCCCGGCCATCCTCCCCACCTACCCCGCTGCAGTGCTCGCGGGTCGGCGGCGCTCCAGGCTGGCCTGAGGAGGGGCGAGGATGGAGGGAGCAGCAGGAGCGGAGAGCGCTGGAAGGAGGGGGCGGCGCGCGTACTTCGTCCCACCGCCATCCGGGAGAGCCCAAACCCGTGCGCGCGCGCACCTCGCCGAGGCTCCGGCGGCGGGAGGCGGGCGGAGCTGCGGGCGGCGCGGGCGGAGCGATCGGCGGGCGGAGCGAGCGGGGGGAGGGAGCTCGCGAGCCGGCAGGCGGGCGAGGAGCGTCTCCTCCAGCATCTGCCGCGGCCGCGTTTGCCCGGGTACTGACCGACGGACGGATCGTCTGGCGGACGGGCTTGGGAGCTCGCCTTGTGCTCGGGGCCAGCTCCAGCGAAGCTCTGGGCTTGCAGCACGCGCTTCCCCGCCCGCTCGCGGCCACCCCGGCTCCGGCGGCCTCGGCGCGCGAGGGGCTGGACGTGCGGGAGCCGCTCTCCGCAGGTCGGTCCTTGCGCTGCTCAGCCCCGACCGCTGCGCTGCGGCCCCCGAGCGGCGTCCCTGAGCCCCAGCTCCCCGCCGTGCTGCTCCGAGCAACGGTGCTCAGGGGCTCCAAACTCGGGCTGCCGGGGCAAGTGTCTTCATGAACCCAGAGGATGTCCGGGAAGCATTACAAGGGTCCTGAAGTCAGTTGTTGCATCAAATATTTCATATTTGGCTTCAATGTCATATTTTGGGTAAGTTGGAGCGCTTCTGGGATTTCGACTATCGTGGCCGATCGATTCGCGACGATTTCCCCCACGTTGCTCTCTGCGTTTACTTTTCGCAGCCCCTCGGGCGCTTGCGGTAGCCCGGAGAGGCATTTGCCTTCCGCCTTTTCAGCCTGCGCGTTGGAGAGATAAACATTTAATCCTTTCTAGGAACGCGAAGAGGTAAAAAGAAAAGCCGAGCCGGAAAGGGGGCACCCAGGCCTTGGGATGGCTTTTTAAGGAAGGAATAGCGTGGATGCAGATGAAAGAAAGGGCTCGGCAGTTTGAGAGATGAGCAACCACTCGAATGAGATTTGCTCCGGGTGGGATATGGATGTTGGGCTGAGCGTGGTGTCATAATAGGGAAGGCTAATCGGGCAGACCCGACCCTGAGGTCCACCTTCTAACAAGGATCTGATTGGACGAGGGCTTGGCTCCGTGTTGCCGCGGCTGGTCTGTGCCATGTTCAGCGTGTATCTTCTTGCACCATCTCGGGCTTTGTGTAGGATGCAGATGCGGTGGTATACGGTTCTGTAATGTGCACGTAAATATCGCTTCCTGCGCGCTCTTCCCCTTCATCTGGAAAGCGCTCCTTTTGCGTAATGGACTGACCAGTGGGCGTGTGGGGTGGAGGGATTTATTTCTCTTTCTGTATTATTGTCAGGATAATAAGAAGTCACCATCAACATATGTTTCAGTGTGTCCGTGCCTCACGTCCTCCTGTTTGAGGAGTGACATAGAGCGGGCCGTTTTGGGGAAACCTTGGAGAAATGCGGAGGAGAAGGTGTACGAGGCATGTTTTATGGGGCTACTGGGAGAGCAAATGCTTGAAGGAAAGATTCAAACCATGCTCTGCTGGCACTGCAGTGTGCTGGGCACCTATTGTAATTAGGCTGGGATGCCTACTCTTTTGTTTTGTTTGAATTCTTTTCCTTGATCTCACAAACATGTTCAGCAACCAGACAAAGAGTTCACTAGGACAAGAGGAAAACGTTGGTTCAAAGACCGTGTTATTTTTCCTTTCCATCCCATCCCATCCCATCCTTTTCCTTACTGGGCACTCCTCCTGCCCCCCACTCTTCCCCCCATGGAAAGTAAAGATGGTGGCTGTCTTGGGGGGGCGGTTCTCCAAGTTGCTGTTCAGTGTAGGTTCAGTGTGAGATAAACAATAATCCAGTCGTGGGATCAATAATAATCCACAACAGTCTTAACACAGGGTGTATTTATTTTGGTTCTCCTTTAATTTTGGCCATACGCTGTAAACATATACATCGATGAGAATAGTTGTCAATACAGCTCTTTATATTCTTCTTTTTTCTGCCACACATTTACTAGGCTATTTTATTTTTATTTTCTGTTTTCTCTAGTAGTACCTTGCACTGCTCATGAATGTTTTGCAAAAGGAAATGGAAGGGATTGGAGACCACTTTCTGTGTCAGCATGTCATCTGGCCTCAGGACTGATGATGAAGGGGGACACATGAATAAATATCAGATCTAGTCTTTCACAGGCCATTTTTGCCAGGGATTGGACATGATTCCTGTTAGCAGTCACCCGCCTCCCTGCAGTCAAACACTGCTACAAATATAGGAAGAAGAAATTATTTTCTTTCCTTGCTTCCTTTTTTTCAACCCTTGTTGGAAATGTTTAAAAGTCACATTTCTGGGTGAGGCGTTTTGATTTTATCTGAACTTGAAACTTTCATAACTTTGAGAGTCAAGGACTACCGAATTGGGACTGGATCTTGTTGGCATAGTGAGTCCAAGCCTCTTGATTCTACTTGAACACTTGCAAAAGTTGCACATTTCAGCAACTAGGCAACAAAAAGTACCTAGGGGCTTTCTCTGCAGTTTCGTAGCAGGAGGTGGAAAAGAAATAAAGGGATTTGGGCCTGTTTCCCTGACAGTTTGGTGTAATTTTGTAGTGTACAGAGGCACATTGAGTATTTTCTGTGGATTAGGTTGTAGCAAAACCTCTGCAACTGTGGAGAGCTTCAAAGAATTGCAGAGTGCTTGCATAGAGAGTTGCAGAAGAGAGTCACGTCTTGTCTCATTTTGAAGGTCTTCATCTCTTGGGGGAAGTTTTATGGGAAGCCTGAAAAGAGATGTAGGCTGTGGAACTAAACCAGCTGCCCCAGGCAGAATTGTTATGTAGATGCCTTTGTTACAAGGGCTCTTCTCTTACTCTGCTTTCTACACACCTTGTTCCTCCTTTCTGTGCCTAAAGCCTTCCACTCATATACACCCTCATACCTTTCCTATCCTGCTGTCTGCTTCAAAATTACCCCATATTGGAATCTCTGAGTTTTTAGTACCCTGGTCTCTAGAGTGATGATCAGCAGGA